TATGCTATTTAATGCTTGTTTTGGTAAACGTTTTTGCTTTACTAAAAGAATCAAATATAAGAGGTTATGAGCATTTAATTCAACAGATAAATATGCTGGTCTTGTAATAAAATAACTATTAATATTCTTTTTTTTTCACTCGTAATTTTGCCATTTTCTGATGCTTTTAAATTTGATACTTTTTGTAAGTAACACAACCACAGTCGGCAAACGAATACGACACACCATGCTGATTGAATACCTAAACAGAAAGCAATTGTTATGCATAAATACATTTGAATTGTTGTTGTTTTTCAATTTAAAAAGGGTGATATACGCTCAAGAACATTTGTTGATCTATCAACATACGCTTTCATTATCATTTTTAGTAATGCTAGGTAGGCAAATGTTCCATTTGCATTCGCATCACTTTTGAGAAGATTTAACACGTCATCTGATATTAATTTGATGCATGAATGATAATTCTGACGATCTTTTGGGTTAATGTCGCTCATAATTAAGCCATGAACTAATTTTGTATAATTAGTATTGTCGATCAGGTTTTCTATATGTTTTATACTAATTTTATCATTTCCATAGCATAAATTCGCTGTTGATGATAACAATCTGTTTCTCCATTTGGTTATTAAATGGGGTGGATCTTGAAAAAATAAGAAAAGTTTATTCCTATTTAAAAAAACCATGTCCAGTGCTTTGGTATATCAATTTGAAATGCATGGTGATGTTTATCTAATTTGAAATTAGGTAAGGATGCGAAGAAATTACTTCCCAGACGCATGACACTCATATATTTATTATCGGCATCTATTTATAAAAAATGACTATTATAAAAACAGATAATATATAAAATCTACCTGTAGAAAAACCAATAATACGGACACCCTGATTCAAAAAGCTTTGAAATATATAGATCCATCGACGTAAGATGTCTATAGACGTAAATCTGTTATCGGTACCATAAGCTGACAGTAGACATGGTTTAGGAAATATCTTCGGATTGTCTTCTGTTGGTATACGTTGAAACATATGTACATTTAGCAGTCGTGCCATTTCGTTTGTATCATAAAGCATTTTTAAATCTTCAAATGCATTGGCTTGAAAGTGTCGTACCGATGGAATGCCGTCAGTAATTGGAGTTGAGAATCCTATGAATGAATTTGTTGAAGAATCATACTCAATTTTACGAATAACACCAGTTGTATCTTCAGAGCAAAAGCAAAAATTTGAATGGGCCTGTTGAAGAGGTTCAAATTTGAATTCAGCTTCAGCTAATCTTGTGCCAAATTCACTAATTAAATCAGAAATTGTTGTTAAATTTGAAATCGATGCCTCAAGAGCCATCGAAATCTAGTGAATTAGTATCTACAGTATCCATATCACCGTCTCAAACAGATAAACTATTAATTGAAGTCGATGATAATCCATCAAACAGATCACCTCCGATTAATTCCCAAACAGTATCAAATCAAAGCACACAAAATAACAAGCGGCGCTTGACATCACAGTCACAACAACATCAGTTAACAAAAAGAAGTCGTATTTGAACATTTTTCTTCTCTTTTTTATTCTTTTTAATCCTGTTTGTGATCTTCGATGTTTTTTTTACTTGTTTTATTTTGAATAAATGATTAAAAGGTTTTTTTAATTCGAGTATCTCTATTCTTCACTTGACTTGATTATCAAAATAATATATTTATGAATCAGTGCATAAAGAAAATATGTATGTAGTAATGTTTTAATAATTGTGTAATAACTTATATTTCCCAAGAGTACTTCTTAGTACTTAGAGTTACCTGAAGTACGCTGAAGTTACTTGGATTACATCGAAGTTACTTGAAGTACACCAAAGTTACTTCAAGTAGCCAAAAGTAGTTCAAAGTATGAGACAAGTATTTGAGAAGTTACTTAAAGTACTTTCAAGTCCCTTAAACTACTTGAAAAGTACCTCAAAGTAGTGAAAAGTAACTTCAAGTACAAAAGTCCGCCCTTTCCCCCTTGTATCAAACTCTGAAATCAAATTAGTCTTTACCGTTAAAAAATAAACCCATCGATGCAAATATTTCATTCATGTTGTATCTATTCAGCTAGGTAAGATATTGCTTTCAATAAAGACATCAAAAGTTTTTCGCAATTGTTATTATAATTACTTCATAATAAATAATTTAGTCACTTATATCAACCGATGGCAGGTATTTATCTAAAGTGAACAAGTAATTTTTCTATTGTTCATATATTATGGTCCTCGTGTCCTTAGTTTTAAAAAATATCAAACCTGAAAAAATCAGCG